CAAGATATTCCAAACTTTATTTTATGGATGAAAGTGAAATAAATGTGAAAATTCATTAATCAAAATAAATATTTTAAAAAAATTTAAATGCATCAAACTTTATTTTATTCTATGAACTTTTATCTCTACAGTAAGTTGTATGTTGTATTTACATTTGGAAAAAAACTATTTGAGTGGATAAACTTACTATAAAAAACTATTTGGCTCTTGTGATTTAATTTAATTTTATGCCATAAAATTAACGTAAAGTTTAACAAATTTTCTTTTTCAAAATTGATATATTTATTGTTGTGTAAGTTTACGGTAAAAGGTACCGAGTTTAAATGAATTTCTAATAAAAGGTGAATTAAGTATCTTCTTCGATAAGTCTTTTGATTTCTCTTTAATTTTGTCTCATCTTCGATGAGTCCTAATTAATGTTTAGTTTCTTTCTTCAACGAGTCTCTATAATTTAAAGTGAAGTGTTTATTTCTACATATGTGTTTCCTTCTTCACTTTCCTTTATGTTTCTTAATTAGTAATAATGAGCATTCCGCTTAAATAGTAGACATAGGTAATTATAAAATAAGAGAATATTAAATATTTGGTCCATAGAACTTCTCTACTATGACACGAGGTTTTTTTTCTTCTTTAGTTCAACAACAATTATGGGAATGAAGATCGAATCATCGACCTTTACGATGGTAATAAGTATTTGACAATTGTGAGGAAAATCTTGTGTCATACGTTCTCCTTACTCACAATATACGTTCTCCTCTTTACTTAATTATCAAAATATTTTACTTAATTATCAAAATATTTTTTTAGTTTAACAATTGTTAGGTTAATGAACGAATCATCAACTTTAAAGATGATAATATCATATTTTATCTATTAAACTATGTTCGAACTGACTCAACTATTAAAAAAAAAAAAGAAATTAGTAGTCGGTAGGATGTAAATCATAATATAATAAACATAAAAGTACATTTAAATCAGTAAAATGTTAAATGTTAAAATTGGTAAAAAAGGCCGTTGATAATGTCAAAGGGGAAGGTAGGGGACATAAAGAACCGAGCATGTTATGGCCAGCCTGGTATTTGCTATTTCCCCGCTCTTGTCTTACTGTTTGTTGTTATTTCAAAAACGTAAATTAAAGATCCCATTTTGTGGCCAATCTTTGTCATTCTGCTCGTTATTTTATCGCCACATATTTTTTTTTTCCATTAAATTATATTTATAGTTATAATTATGGGGTGGAAATTGAACTACCAACTACTAAGATGATCTGTCTAGGGAATTTTTTGTCATTCCCAAAATCATATTTGGTAAATTAAAAAATTGATTTTAGGAAAATTTAAAATCACTTTAAATTGATTTTTAAGGTATCATTTTGACGGATGATTTTAGAAAATCAATTATACTTAAATCTCTTCTTTCAAAATTATTCGTAATACCATCACTCTCAAACATACCCTGAATACTTTTATTCACCAAATTTTTAAATTGACAATTGTATTTACCATGTCATTTAGGAGTCTAATAAATTGCACTAAATCGCAAATCTTTTGATTGAGTTGTAAGGCATTATGTCATTTTCAAATAAGGTTGGACTAAAACAGTAATATTATATTAGATTCTTGTGACTCATTTTAAAATATAATTACAAATAACTTACCACGTTAAATCTAATATTACTGTTCAGTCAATAAGCGACTATAACTACCGAGTGTTGAGGGCAATAATAAATTTTTGTTCCCAACTCAATTATTAATTCATCATTTTAACTTAAAATTTTCATAACTAATAAATTTGTTTTTTTTAAGGTCATAATTAATAATTAAAGTAAAGAAAAAGAAAGTTTTTTTTTTTGAACGGGAAAAAGAAAGTTATTTAAACATTAAATAAGACTATAAAATGCATATTCCAACATTGATATTATTCGATTTTTTTTTTTTTGAAACATCTATTTTTGAAATTTGAATAAAAGGAACGCCAATAAACTTTGGAATGATGGTCGAAATGGGTGGTTGGTGGCAAAATGAAAGCGAGAGGAACCAATGGTCGGTTCGGTTGGGTCACTTTTTTTTTGATTTCCCATTTTACCCCTAGCTCTCTATTATTACATTATACTTTTTCTGTCCATGTTATTTATTTTATGTGAAAGAAGAGGGGCATTTATGAAAATTCGGTTGAAGAAAAATGCCGTCCAGTCGAAATTGGAGACTGAGGCTACGCCGGGCCCTAAGCTGTGGGTGCGACGGACGGTCGGCGCTTGGACGGCCCGGTGGCCCACTCAGAAAAGGACCACTCCACCTTCAAAATAAAGATGGGGGGTGGCCTACGTATTACAAATTAATTAAGTCCATATGAACAACAAATGCTTTTTTTTTTCTTTTTTATATATAAAAAATATTAATCAGCACTTGGATGTCCGATTGGGAAAGAAGCAAACCAAATCGTAGAAGAGAAAATAATTGTGGCAAAGAACCACATCATAAAAGAAAAGAACAAAGTAGTCCATGCTCTTGCAACAGAGGCGATGAGAACAGAGAATACAAAGGAGTGAAACGGAAAATAATTTGATTATTTAATATTTTTTTGTTGGAGGTAGATTTTCATATCACATCGTGGCATGGCTTGCACTGCCAAAAGTGTTTCATCACCTCAACCATGACTCCTCTGGCCGAGCTGATCTTGGGTGGTCGAGTCGACCAAGAGATCTTGTTCCCCAAGTCGTGGTTGAACTGATTGCTTCACCTTGGTTCAGTCCTATCTCCGACAGTCCACGACAACAACTGCATTTCACGACAACTTTAAAGAGCCATTGAGACCTTATCAGGAACGAGGAATTTGCCTATAAATAGAATCCACTCACTACATTTTGAGGTACGCGAACACTAAATTCTCTCGAGGTTTTCTGCGCTCAGTGACCAAGTCTTCCTCATTCGAGCTGATATTCATAGAGTTGGTCAATTTCTTGATTCAACATTTTCAATTTAGTCAAATTATTAAAAAGTAGAGACAAATTTAGTTTAGAAAACTTAATTCTCTAAATTTATGCCAATTTATTAAATGAGCGAGGGATAAATTAATAAATATTAATATTTAATTAACAAAAAACTAAATTAAATAATATAACTAAATTTAAGAAAACACCAAAACATTTAAGATAAAAACATATTTTTAGGGAAATAATGCGAGTGGTCGCTTTATAGGGGCATTTTTTACACTCGTTTGGGAGATGCAGTCGATGTGGGACAAGTCAAGCGCATATTAATACCCAACACATGCAAAATGCAAATATTCCCTCCCTGTCGGCTGTTTTTTTGTTTGTTGCCACACTTAGAATAGCAAAAATTCTGTACACCCATGTGGAAAAAAAAAACAAAGCTTTGAAAAAAAAAATGCCGTTTGAGTTTTATTGTTGGTTCTTTTATAGTCAATTATAATATTATATTACATATATATATATATATCAAATTCAAAATTTATGCAACGGTAAATGACGATTGAAGGAAAGTTTACCCGAGTTATCTGATATAACGTTATAATTTAGAGCAATTATTAGTCCAAGGGAAGGCCGATGCTTCCCTTGGAAGGGTGGAAGGGTGGGCCGGCCCAAGCAGTAGTCCAAGGGAAGGCCGATGCTTCAGAGGCCCATTATCAGGCTACTGAAATGGGCTCTGGCCCATAAACGAGCAGTGTCCTCTTCATGTCTCTCCTTCGTCGCTCTCCGGCCGTGCAATTCCGATGCCAGCCGCCGACGAACGGCACCTCAGCCTCCCATACCGGCGGTGATTTTACGGACTTGCAAATTTAGTATATTTTGATACCTATAATTTTAAAAGGTTCATTTTAGTCCATATAATTTTAATTTCGATTTTATTTTAGTTTATGTACTTGATTTTGCATCTCGGTTAAAATAATATTTTGGTATGGTTCATTTTAGTCCCTCTACTCTGAAAATGTTCATTTTGGTCCATGTACTTTTATATATTGGTCATTTTAGTCTCTTTTTACAAGATTTTAACACAAATTTTACACTTAGTGAAAACTATTTAGTACGAAGTATGTTTACATTTTAAGAAATATATTGATTGTAATGTGGTGTTGAAATTGTGACAAAAAAAATAAGATTTAAAATTAAATGACCAAAATAATTATTTTTTAAAAGTATAGAGACCACAATAAACATTTTCAAAGTACGAAGATTAAAATGAACAAAATCAGAAAGTACACGGATCGAAACGAACATTTTAAACGTATAAGGACTAAAATAAACTGCTAAATTAGCTTGTTTCGACTATTTTTTAGTAGAACTATTCACACTCCTTGATTTTTAATATCTCAAATAGTTGCTTTGAATGGCTATTCTTTTGCCGTTGCTCAGTTTGTTATAGTTTTTTTTTTTTCTTTTCTTTTCAGGGAGAAATTTGTTTATGCCCAAGTATATGAAGGTGGAGCTCTGTAGAAATTGTGTGCATAACCTTAACTTTGATCCAATGTATAATATAGTTGGGTTGGAGTTGAAAATATAAAAAGAATATTAAATAATTAAAAAACAAACCCCTCTAATGTTGTATGAATATCAAATTTTTTTCTCATTTGTTGTATAAATTTCAATATAGTTTTATAGTTGACAAATTTATGAAAACAAAAAATATTTTTTTAGAAATACAATGTAGCCATAAAAGTTATATTTATATTCCTGTTAAATCACGACTTCAAACTGAGTTGAATTGTGAGTTTAAAAATTGCTCATGCGACATTGTTTTCTTTTTTTAAGTAAATCATGTGACGAAATAGAGTTTAGAAATTTGGGAATTCAATATTTAATGAGCTGCCTCCCCTGCCGTTTACACTAATTTTTTTATTAAAAAAAGAAAAAAAATTGCACGCCAAGAAAGATAATGAAATAATAATTGTCCAGCCTAAGAATCTCCCACCTCTCACAAGGTGACATAATTGAAGTACAAATAAAAGGAGCGTGGGTGCATAAATCTTGAGGAGAAAAATAATTAACTTCACACTAGCAAATTAATGTAATTCCATTCAGATAGTTGGTAGAAATATTAACTTACAACTGAATGGGGCAAACAGCAGTGTAAGAGAGAGATCATAAAGGAATTTTACATATACAATGATCTGGTTATTACATGTGACTGATGATTCTCCATTGAAAAAAAGCTTGCTTCCTAAGAGCAACAACCACCACTTTGTTGAGCTTGGCCTTCCTGCTTCTGCCTTAAAATGTTCCTCTTTATCACAGTGGATCTTTCCTCCAAAAAACTGGGAACCTCCATGATCTGCACACAAATACAAACAAGCTTTAAATATTGGAAAAGATCCCAACCCAGACAATCTCAAATTTCTCAGATTCTTGGGAGCTGCCTTTATATGAAGGTAATTTATAGATGGACTTGTTCTTCACTTGGCTAGCTCGTGTTCAATTATTGTGTTGTATATTCTCATTTGAAACGAGGAAATATAAACGTTTTTAAACTCGTTTGACTTCCGAACATGGCTTTAAACTATTTTACAACTATTTTCTGTGTCTGCCATGTTCTACTGCCATGTTTCTACATATCACATTCGCAAGTACAATGTCATTGGTTTTCTTTCTAAGATGTAAGATGATAGCTGATGTTGTAATAGAAACTACCTTTATTGCAAGTTCTTCAAAGCATTTCTCTACATTCTCTCTGGTTTTAGCACTGCATTCAAGAAACAAAGATCCAAGCTTGTTGGCAAGAGCAATCCCATCTTCTCTACTTACAGCCCTTTCAGATTCCTGAGATTGTTGCAACAGATCAAACAAATTTGTGTAGCACTGACAATTTTTTGCTTAGATATGCCTTAAATCTGCAATATAGATTATTGCAGGGGGAAAGAATAACGAAACTAAACATCATCAAATATTAAATGTAGACTGAGTGTGTCAAGAGAGACTGACTCTATCAACTTTATTTCCAACCAGCATCTTGACGCAGTCCTGATCTGTCAAATACAGTTCGACTTCGTTTGCCCAGATATCTGATAAGTTTATAAAGCTTTCTCTCCGGGTCACATCATAAACTAAGACGGATCAGAAGACAGCACTGTCATTAGACCAAAGATAATGTAATATGAAAATATGACACTCTAGAATTCTCCATGAGCTTATTTTACTTGAACATATTTGACAAAGAATGTATACTGCTACTGGAAGAGGAAATTGAAAAGACAGAAAAAATGAATGAATGAAACATAAACATAAAGTTCTAAAAGTAGAAAAGAGAGTGAAAAAGACAAAAAAGAAAAAACCCATCAATCAGATGTTCCAACTTTTAATAAAACAACTTCATAGATGCTAGTATATCACCGATCTGATGGCTGCACGACTCTAATCCTGTCTTGATATATATTTCTCTACCCGTTGGAGGTTAAATCAAAGCAGTACATAATTTCCTCAGATTGCAAGAGAGGTTTTAGAACGCAATAACAAAAAGAGAAAACTATCTTGTGCTGATATCCTTCTTCTAATTCATTGGTATCAATCAATACACTATATATTAGGTTGAAAAATCTCAAGTTTATATTAACCATATTAGCACATTCCATAGACTGAATCAATGAAGGTTAAATATTCATCGAAGCTCATAAAGTTGGGAGCAAATCACGAATGCATCTAGGTCGGAACAAAAGAGTTCCATTTGATAGCTTACCGAGAATGATTCCTTGGGCACCTCTGTAGTATGAACTAGTTAATGTTCTGAACCTCTCCTGTCCAGCTGCACCAAATTAAGTCTTCAAAAGTCAGCCACCTTTTGTTTGATTTACACTAAATTATTAGTTTAATGCTTCAGATAAATTTTGGAACTAATAAATTAGTGCTTCAGAAAGCAAGCAAGCATGACTTCTGGCATGGAGAACTTATATTTCATGGAGAACTTATATTTCTTTTGTCATGTAGGAGCAAAGAAAGTGTAATTGCAATTTAAATTAACAGATCAACAACCAAGGAGTGATTCCGAACCGGAAAGACAGTAGGTGGCAAAAATCCATCGAGGTGTTTCTTGTAACATTCTCTTTTAGTTTTTATACTTTCAAAATATCATATGATTAAGTGTTTGGGTTAATTTTTTCGTTAAAAGCTTGATGGAAGAACAGACTAAGAATGGAATATCTGCAAGTGAATGAAGGTGACGTACCTCCTACATTCCAAAATTAAAAGCGATCCAAGTATCTACCCAGTCCAACATAAGATTTTCTATGTCAAATATCCAAAGATTCAATATCCAACTTCAGAATCGAATACATTACCAGTATCCCAAATTGTCAGCTTCAATCTCTTCCCACCAACTGTGAGTTGCTTGATCTTGAAATCCACACCTACAGGCAGTGAACACAAATTCTTCTATAAATAACTAATCGAAATAAAGCGAATTCCACACCATCTACATTTTCCTTAATCTACAAATCAGACTAAAGAAACGAATTAATCAATCACAATCAACTAAGACAGACCCAATCTAACAACGAACAAAACCCAGTTGAAGAAGTAGAAGTACCAATGGTGGGGGCGAGATCCAGGAGAGAGCTAGAAACGAAGGTGAGTAGAAGACTGCTTTTTCCGACGCCGGAATCGCCGATCAAGAGCACCTTAAACGAGAGATCGTAGGCGGCGGTGTGGGCAGATGAGGATCCCATTCTCTCGAAAAGGGGCAGAGGGTAGAAGAAAAAGGGAGTTTATAGAGCAAAACGGGGAAAGAGAGAGAGAAATCCATTTATAAATGGCGTGGCGACGTGGTTTCCTCCACTGAGTTATAAAGCGCGAGAGGACCTCACAAGAAAACGGCTGCCCGCCTGCGAGGCGCCCTGTAAATATTTTGACAATCGATTCCTCCACGATGACGACAGCATCCGATTCGTACCTTTCTTTCGCGCCCCCATACGCTGCCGTTTCACACACCGCACCGGATCCATCTCCCCAAAAAAAGAAAATACGAGCTTCCGACCTTTCGTATTTTGTTTCAAAATAGTTTGAGTAAACATCGATTAATATTTTAACCACAAAAATTGACATGATAAAATATAAAACAACCTAATAATTAATGTAATAATTGACATGTCATATCAAATTTGCTTTCGGTTTTCTACCCAATTTTACCATAGTCTCAAAAGGGATAGCCTTTTTTTTTTGCATTTTTTCTCTTTTCATCCGAGGGGATTAAAGGCCAAATAGTGGTCTATAGTACATTTTTCAAAAATAGTCTCGTGTAAGGCAGGTTCAAGTACAGACTTGAACTTGTGACTATTAGATTGAAAGTCTAATGTTTGAAATATACACTCAAAAAATGTCAAATAGATGGTAGATGCATGAGGATTGCGGCATAAAACGAAAGGTGAATTGACATGTCATTTTAGATTCTAGCATGTCTACCTTTTACTTAAAATATTAATGAATGTTCGTTGAAATGATATTTTTTAAAAAGGTTGGAAAAAGATAAATGRCAGTATTAAAAGTTTCAAATGATAAGGTATCTTTGAAATATGCGACTGTTTAAAGGTCTTTTTTATAATTTGCCTCACATGCTTACGTGTGCTAAAAAGTTAACGATTGGATCGCGTTCGATACAACAGTGTAGATTTCTTGATATCGCTCCCACATCTTTCTAATCTTTCATTTCACCCATGGTCGTATGCGACGTGACTAAAACTTATTTAATGCTAAAAAATGTTGTATTTTATTATTGTTTTTTTTACGGGATATTTTATTATTGTTATTATTATGTTTCTTTATTTAAGTTATAGTGTCATATGGTGTTTTTTATTATATTGTATGTATGTAAGTGTTTAGTATTATCTATAATCTTTAACATTTTGGTTTATTTATGTTTCCTAGTTTTTAATAAATAAAAATAGAGTTGCAGGTGTGAAATTCAATGATGAATAAAATAATATTTTTATTTAAGTTTTGGAACCATTGAAAATAGAAACAAATTTATTGTTCTGTCAAAACGAGCTTAATTCAGCGGTAATTAATATATACTTCCAATCAATAGGTTGTGAGTTCGAATTTCCTCCTCAACATGTTGTACTAAAAAAAACAAGTTTATCGTTCCTAAAATTTATATAAATCTTTTTATAATACTAGTTTGATACCTCGTGCAAATGCACGAATATTTTCTATTTAACTTAATTTTACAATAACATAAATAAATGAGAAAAAACAATATTAGTATAACAATAACAATAATAAACAAAAAAAGAAAAAAATTAAGATATGTATATACAAACTTCATTAAAATATTTGTACTTTACTAATTTAATCATTTAATCTATGAATGTATTTAAATTGCATTGTTTCGTAACTCTTAAAAGAATTTTATATTTGATTAAGAAATGTATAAATACTTTAATTTTTTATTTTAATGTTATTTTATCTAATTTTGCTCCATTATTTTCTAAAAATATTTTGTTTGTTTATTAAAAATTCTAAAAAAATTTCAAGCTAACATTTTGTTATATATTAAATATTTTAGTTTATACTAATTTAAATTCAAGTTAGTATATTCCAATTTTTTAGATTTCATACAAATTATTGTACATAATTAATTTATTAATTTACTATTTACAATTAATTAAAACTTTATGACCTTACACAAATTTTTTTTCAACAAAATCAAGAGCAGTATCTCATCTTATAGCCCGGCGCGGCGGATCGCCTTTTGAATTCAGTAGATAGAAGAAACTATTATCGAGGCATCCATCGCAGCTGTGATGACGCAGTTGAGTGTTCATTCGATCCACCACCCGAGGCCAGGCGAAACGTGGCATGGGACATCTGTCGGCGGCGAGAGTCTGACATCCGAGCGAGAGGTCAGACCAATTCAATTCATCCTGGTCGAGAAGGTGAAGAAAAGACTGTCGGAACCGATCGGAGGAGTATTTCAGAGTCCATCCCCGCCTTTATTGAGAAGTGAGAAGGAAGAGATATAAAGGTGGGGCATCCATCGCAGCTGTGATGACGCAGTTGAGTGTTCATTCGATCCACCAGCATAGCTCTTTCTTTCCCGGGTCTCCTTTCGAAGGAGAAAGGCCTTCGCATGGAGGTTGCTGTGAGGAGATCCTTGTGCCAGTGAAGATTGCTTCCAGTGATCGGGAAATCCAAAATAAAAAAACCATTGATTTATTTCCAACACTCCGGATAGGCGGAATGATCTATGTCTATCCCCAACTTCCTTTCAATCCACGCATGCTCCGGAGGAGATTGACCCTGAGAGTCAGTCCAGTCAGAAAGGGGAGGGCCCAATGAAAAGCCAGGGTAGAGCCTCGGAGCCGGCCCAAGCGAAGATCGGCACTCGAAGGCTTGAGGAGCAGCCCGCAAAAGGGAAAGCCGTGGAGACGGCAGACTCGCCGGCCCACTATTAGATAGTAAAGGCGCCTTAGCCTATCTCTCGATATAGGAAGGGGCCTTTTCTTGCTTGCTCGTTAGCGGCAATTTCTTTGCGCTTTCATTTCAGTGATGAGGTCGCAAAGAGGGAAGTAGGGCTCCTATTGACTAAAGGTGGATTCTTCGCTTTCATGAACTTGTAATATATCAATACATTATTGTTATTTTCTCAAAAAACATTCTAAATACATAAAACACTATTTATAAAAGAACAATACAAAATAATAGTAACAAAAAAAAAATCAAAGTTTTATCAATACACTAATCTAAAATATGTTGATGCTTAACAATCACTATTATTTTACCTCATAAATTATGGAACGATGATCTCACAAGCCTTAGATTCAAGATATAGTGTCGACACATGTATTCTCTATGACTTGATGAATATGTCGCCAACATGATTTTGAGATGTTTTTGAGACTGAATAATATTTGAGAGCAATGTTTTGAGAGAATTAAGTGTTGTGAAAAAATAGTGAAAGAAAGCATGTTTTTATAGTATTAGGAGATAAAACGTTACAAAACTCTTGTAATTCTATTATAAATTGTAATTAAAGAAAATAATTTAATTTAATAGGGTGAAAAACCTTTTGTATTCTAGCATTGTTTAGATCATGGATATTTATTATTATATTATTATTGATAATCAATAATCAATAATTAATTTAATATTTATAATAAATTATTAATAACATAATTTGTAAATTAATAAATTAAGAAAGGGACAAAAGCGTCCAAAAATGTTTCTCCGAGATCCTTCCATTTTAATATAGTATAGATTTATAAAAATTGAGAAATAATAAACATAAATAGTTGTAAATATTTGTAATGTTTTTTTAACGTTATTGTATTTTTGGATCAGATATAACTAACAACACGTTATTCTTTCTCGATCTAACTAGGAAACATAATTACAATCATGTTAACTAGTGTATAGTTAGTTAAGTTATGTCTCTAAAAGAGAGAGTTTTCTTTTCTTTTTCGTTGGAGAAAAGAAAAAAAAAGTTTGAAAATTGATTAAACACGGATGTAATATTTTGGCGGTAAAAAAAGAAAAAGAAAAAGAAACGCGTACTGTACACGGGATTGACCGAGTCAACTGCTTAAGAAAAGATAAATGAACCAAACGCGTAAATTACACGCAAATGACACGTAATCTTCATCCTATATAAGGGTTCTGTGCGTCTTTTTCCTCTCAGTCCAGACTCGAAGAAGAAATCGAACGACAGATTCTCCTTCCATCTTCTCCTTCCGCCAATTCCATGGCGCGATTCCGGCGAATCAATCCATCCATCTATTTGGGAACTCATAACAGCGCCAGCGCTAGGGTTAGGGTTAGGGTTTACGAGTTCTTTAGTATGCTTGGAAATTTTGGCTACTGCTTAGACTTTCTTTGATGGTGTTAACAGCGGCTAGATATGTTTTCTAGCCTCAGGATGATCATTAACATGGAAGCGCTAGCATTGCGTGCCACTTGAGACCGCTGCACAATTCGTTCGTATTTGGTATCGAATGCTTTCGCTTAGTGAGATATTTAAGTGATTTTCTTTCCATTGTTGACGGCAAGTTCTGCACTAACTTCAACACCCAATTTGCCCGTGATACCATCGACTTCGAGAAATTCTACTCCGAACACTCGTCTTCAATTCAGGTACAATTTTTACTATAAGAATGAATTTTGTTAAATAAAACAGAGAAAGACTAATTTCGAAAACTTTGTTCTAACTAATGAGCTTTCTGTTACATAATGATAATGCTCTGCAGTCTGGTTGGTGCAAGCCGGCAGATGATTGCAATTTCGTGTACGGGGGGCCGAATGAAGATAAGTACGGATCTTCAGAAGACTAAGAAGTTATCTAAGAAAAGCAGGAAAAACAGCAGAATTGGTACGCAACTGTTGCCTTCGAGGTCGAGGAGAATATTGGATAAGTGATGGATTGTGGGTGAAAGGGCACGGGGAAAGGCGGAGTCCTGAGAACTCATAGTCCAACTGGGGATATGAAGTCTTCTGGTTCATATACAAGACAGAAGGTAAATATTTTGCCAATGCAGATACATTCCAGTAACGTTGTTGCTGTTCTTTCCTTATCCCACTCCACAAGTACTTGAGAAACTAATTCTTGCACTGTTTCGGTGTTAAACCTTCGGTTAGAATTTTAGAGCTCTAGAGTTTTAGATTGCTTTTACAGAATTGGAGTCAAGGATGCCAAAATAGCTGAATTGTTATAATTCAAATGATTTCAAAAAACTATTCCAGAAACAGAATTTATTGTCCGCCATTGAGATGGTGAGGATTTCTTCAGTTGAAAGTTGAATCATTTGTAAAGTGCTAGATACATTGTTTTCAAGATCATAATTTTTAAATTTGATAAGATTCCATCATTATCATCAGTTGAAGTTCTCTATATATGCATGTTTGGAAGCATTAATCAGTTTGTTGATGTAGAAATAGAAAACACGCATAGGACCTGAAATTTATCAGCTGCTATAGTCGCCATGCATGTTGTAACTTATAATTAATAAAATTTCGCTGCCTTCTAAAAACAAAGCAGTATTCTGGCGTTGCTTTATTTTCAAGAATGGGAAAGTTGAGTTACCATTAATTAATTAATTAATTATTTTTTTTTGTTACAGACTGCGAGTGGATATGCCGATGGTGGAATAAGAATTTGGAATGGTGACATAATGGGGTTGTTACCGTCCTTAAGTGTACAACAAGCTTGGTTCCTTGTTTGCAGGAAGTAAAGATAACAATGTTATACCATGGGATGTTGTTGGTAAGACAGAGGCTTTTTCGCTTCTGTGGCCATCGTGATCAGGTTCACAATTACATTTTAATTGGAGCTCTTTTCTTTTTCCCTTTTGTCCTCTGATAGAAAGATTGACTTCCATTGCTAGCTTAACTTGGTACATTAAAGGAAGGGCAGATGAATGTGCTCAAAATAGCTTTGAGGGCCGGTGCAAAATGCCCTGTCAAGTGTGGAAGGAAGATGAAGGTGAAAAGGGAAGATGTTAGGGAAGCCATTGAAGAGGTGATGGTTGAAGGAGAGGAAGCTGAAAGTCGGAGAAAGGGGGCTGGATTATATTGGAAATTGGTGAAGAAAGCTGTGAGAGAGGAGGGTGGGGCTTCCCACCTTAACACTACGCTGTTGATCAAGGAAATTCAGAAAATTTGGGCTTGTGATGATAGGTATTTGAAGTTTTGAATGATATTTCATTTTCTGCATAAAATGTCAATACAATTATACAAGTTTAACTTGACTCAAAATGTCAACACATTAGAGGGCGTCTCTATCGTTTTCTTGGTATGATTTCCTTTCATTGATATTATTGGTTTGTTGTGACAAAAAAAAAAAATCTCTAGGGTTTGATTGTATGATGTATCTATTCTGATTGATCTTCTATATTTCCTTTTTTTAATACAACAAATTGAAATTTGGGTACGAGAGTCTGGATCTCCCACCTGAATGGAAGAAGTAGGTGTAGGTTTCAATTATCACTGAGCTATACTCATGTTGGCAATCTTATATGTTTTGCTTCAAATAATATATATTATATCTGGTAGTCGCGATAATGTTTCCGAATTTTTCCAATCTACAAATGTAATTTATTTCCAAGATTACTACTGGACCTTCTTTAATTCATTTCACCTTAATTGCATTGTGCATATCTAGTAAAGTGGATGAGGATGATAACGTGTAATCTTTTCAGATGTAAAAATGCTAGCATATGAACTAATATTTACAATTTGTTTCGGTAGCACTTTCCCAACCTACTTTCTTTTTCTCTTCGCTTATATATGGGCTGTGAAAGCATGAAACTGAAAGCTTTCAAGATTTGGGGTGAAAGACTCTTTGATTGCGTACCTGTAACCTATATAATATGTAGATTATTTGATGTTATGGTGTGTATTGGGGTACACATCTACTAAGCTGATGGAGCACTATTCCATGGGGATCTAACCTATATAGTACTACATAGATTATTTGATGTGCTAATAACGTTATCTAGGCATATATCTACAATCTATTTCAATTAGCTAATATCCCGTCTTACAAAACACATTATTACAACATTACATAATCTGCGTACTGTATAGGTTTTACCTTACCAGTCCTTTGTAATGCCACTATACACCATTCATATTTGTTTGCTTAAAGTAGGTTGCAGATAATAGATTTGCACCAAAAACACATTATTACCGATCAAGTAATCTAGATATTATATAGGTTACCCTCTCTCAATCTCTTCAGAATCGAGTTAGTTTTCTTTCTTTTTTTTAGTTTACCAAGACTTTGAAATGCTTTGCTCATTAAAAAAGAAATTAATTGCTTGAGACTTTTTTTTATCTTGTAGTTGCATGCAGAAGCTGGGAAAGGTCAATTTGAGATTGCTTTAGGGCATACCGCTTGTCTCAATGCTGCTGACAACTTAATTTACACTCGTGAAGTGATTATCGTGAAGTGATTAGAGGGGGCTACTGCAAGGAAGCATGGATTGTTGGCAACATTTATGCCTAAGTATGTTTTTGGATTCAATCAAGTAAACGCTCACTTGACTGGAATGAGTGCAACAATTTTTTACTGGTTGAACTAGTTTTTGCTAATGTTTGAGAGAGAGACTATTTTTTGCTAATGGTTTTAACTTGGGACCCATATGAAAAATCTATTTCCCTATTGAGATTTGAAACATAATAAGTGAGTTAATCCAATAATCCTATTTGCTGCTTTCATTAATTCCTAAGAGACTCTCTTGGTTATGATAGACCTAGACTGTTATTTTGATTGAGATGTGGAAAAAATAAAAAGGAGGAATAGATGTGAAAGCCGTCCTTACTCTCCCAATTCCAAGTTACTTGGTTGATATATTTACTAGTATTACCTCCAGATATTTGGACCCATATTATTTGTACCTCCATCCTTACTAGGAGTCAAAGTTTATTGGCCATCGGTTGGGGACTTCATAAAAGATTACTTTGTTTTGTATGATGCAACTGATGGATCACGGTTAGAAATAGTTGAAAGGGGCCAACGAACAAACTAACGTGATTAGAGGGTCGAATCGAGTAGTTGGTGATGGTGATGGCAAAGGTAGAGTGTAGTTGGGGGGTGTGATATATGAGGGGAGAGTTTGTAGGGATGAGGATAGATGTAGTCTTTAAAAAACATGTTATTGATAGAACCTGCTCTATTATTTATGTATAAGAGGGGAAATTTAAGGGTTGAGGGAGATTCGAGAGCTCCCTTACCTCTCCTACACATCCTTTAGCCAAACAATTACACAAAAAGATGCCCACACCCCTCCCTTACAGCAGATTATATAACCGTTTCTCTCACTCCCAAAATTGCCCTCTAACTAACTTGGGCCCACAGGAACATTCTCTCTTCCCTTACTACCCCTCCTCCTAACATACGTTATAATCGGGGGCCTATCATTACCCCCTTCCAAAAAGACACCTTGTCCTCAAGGTGAAAATCTGGAAATTGGACTTGGATTACCTCAACTGGTTCCCATGTTGCATCCTCAACTATACCTCCCTCCCACCGAAGAAGGACATCCAAGGCGGTTGGCTGAGTTGCCCGTGTTCGGATGCCCAACACCTCACTAGGTTTGGCTTTCACGATCCCATCTGCCCCCAAGTGTTTAGGGAATGGTAGGAGCGGAAAAG